CCCACTTCCGCCTTATCTGATCTATTCTGCTGCTGTGGCGAGGAAAAAAAAAGAGTGGTTCTGGCGAGGGAGAAGGGAGGGTTCTGGGAATTAGGTCACAGGATTAGATGAGCCATGGGGCTGTTTATGTGCACACATCAAAAGTGCATGACAATATTTTAAATTTTCTCTTGCAGTGTTTGTGATGATTATTGTATTCCTAGACCGTCAAAGGCACAACCTTACCTTATGCGCTTAAAAGTTCAAGTGGGATTGGGAACCCCGCCTTACTACCTTTACAACCATTGTACATGTGATCGACAAGAGGTTGTGGTCCAGGACCTTGGCACCTTGCTGCCATGTGGATAAGGTGCTGATGGCGCCAAAAGTGGTTTTGGTGTAGGAGATAAAGAAAATAGGAGGGAGGGGAGTTAGTAGTATCTACCTTATTGATAGTGAATTAGGAGGCATGCATGTAGTTTCTGCTTCATGACAGTGAACTAGGAGGTACGCATATAGCCATCGTACATGGTTCTTGATAGAAAACATTGGTGTGAGACCTAAGCAAACTAAGAAACGCGGAAAAAAGATTGTGGATATTAAGTCGATCCCCAAGAGTTCAAAGGAAGCAAATCAAATCCTAACATAAAGAGACAGAGGCTTACCTCTAAGCCTTAGCCACTTGCTTACCTGCTGATGCCGCATTTCGTGTAGACTTGTGCTTGGGCCTACAGTGATACGTGGATCCCTTACTAATGTTATATGGCTATTATAGGGCCAGTAATTTCTGGTGTGGTGCTTTAGGTGACCAATGTTTGTGGCAGTTAATTTTCTCAAATGTTCTCATGCATGCTCTTGCACCTTATAATGGAATTAGTTGCAATGGTAATGCTGTATGACAAGTACTCTGTGTCTAGAATGTAGGGTGTTTCAACCATCTTATTTGTCCACAAATATCGGCTGCTTTTACAATTTCTAGGCACGTCGCTTTCCATTCTTCCTATTATACCCCCATGCTTATTACTCTCAACTGAATGCCCTTCCTTCCTAATGCTCCTTAAGCGAGAACATGGGATTTGAGGTAATAATTAGAGAACCTAGGAGCAGGAGAAGGGCATGGTTGTAATTTCAAGCCATTCCTTATTTCTTGTGGACCGAGGAAGGATGCTTTTCCCCTATGAGCAGGAGAAGGAGAAGGGCATGGTTGTAATTTCAAGCCATTCCTTATTTCTTGTGGACCGAGGAAGGATGCTTTTCCCCTATGAAAAATGACAAATATGCGACCGCCATGTATGTGGGTGGTTAAGCAATTCTCACATGGTGTATTGTCTACCTTGCATCAAGGGCTCCTGCTTGTTGCCCAACTGTAACAGAGCATTGTTCATGTATTGGCCTACAAGGGTTTTGTAGATACTGTATCATTTAATTTGTTTGCAATTCTTTTATTGGTATGCTGCAGGATGGTAACGGAGTAGCTTCAGAACAAGTAAGGGGCCCAGAACCTGTGGCTGATGGAGTTGGTTCCTCAAAACAAAACCCTGTAAGTTTTCTTTTGTTATGTAAACTTAGTATTGGAAGAATACATGCACATTGCAAATGTTACTCTCCTAGCTCCTAACCACAACTGCCTTTTTCTGCTGATTGCCATCTGTAGCCTATTGATGCAAGTCCGATGGCCATAGACGGGCCAGCTGTTGTCAGGGCTGAACCAGAGAGGTCAAACAAATTACAGGAACAACAAGCATTGCATCAGAAACCATGATCATCCACCTTAACGTAGCAACTGATGCATCTGTGCAGCCCATTGACTCCATTGGACGAGCCAGGACAGTCTGTAAGCTGTAGCATAGTTCAAACAATCTACTGCACCAACAAGTTAGCTACCAGAATCCAAGATGGTCCGTGTGCCTTGAGAGCAGTTGAAGCTTTGTGCACTATATTCGTGACTTTGACACAAATGATAGTTGATTCGTTAATGCCATTTTTAGCACTAATTTAAGTCTGGGGCCTGTAGAGCAACCAAGTTAGTAATGCAATACATTCCAATCAAATGCTTCCGGGGAGATGACCTGGTGTATGTGACTTAGCAGTGTATAGCTAGGCGAAGGCTTCCTTTTGGTTGGAGCTGTTTTTTCTCATCGCATAAGGGTCTTCTTATGGTCTGTTAGGAAGAATGCCGCTTACTGCGTTTTCGGTGTCAAGTCTGTTCCATTGAAGAAAAGTTGGATTCGTAATGTATTCCCATTGATGGATTGTCTCTTTATTGAGTCATCATTGTTCTTGTAACATTCTAGTTGGGGAAATAATTGTGGCCTTTGTATTGTAATGTTCAAACTTGAGAAGACTACCTTTACCGCAATTATTAATAAAGATTGCATGTTGGAGGTAAGAAGTTATTTGAAATACAGTTTTGCTAAAGCACATCTAGATGTGCCCTAAGTATTGCACATCTAAGTTCCATATCCTTGATTTTACACGGAGATTTGTGCAAACATTTTCTTTCCTCTTTTTTCTTTTTCTTTCTAGTTTGATTGAGCCACTTAGATGTGCAATAACTAGGGCACATCTAGATGTGCCCTAAACAAACCCAAATACTTTAAAATACACAAGTAGGGACCAATTTCTGGCATCAAAAAGTACTCCCTTCGTTTCTTTTAGTCTACTTTCCCAATGTTAACAGGGTTTGATGCTTTTTTCCAGAAAAAGTCAGGAAACAAAGGGAAACCAAAAACAAAAATAAAAACCGAAACTAGAAAAAGACTATCAACCAGAAAGAAAACTGAAACCTGGGAAAAATTGTAACTCGAAAGCACATTTGTGCTTTATTTACTTTTTTTGGAAGCACTTTTGTGTTTTCCCTTTTTGAAAAGCATAGTCGTGCCTCTCACAAAAGTAGAGGATATGTTTTTTTTTTCTTGAGAAACACAACTCTCCCTCTCGCATAAGTATAGCCTATGCTTTTCTCTTTTTCAGGAACCACAATTGTGCTTCTCGAAGAAGCACAATAAGATGTGCTTCACGCAG